CCTTGAACGATTCGAGTAGATGAAATGATTCCCTCCGACACCGTGCAACTTCCGATTGATTGTAAATGTGCCATGATAAACTGGAGCGGCCGAAGGACGGAATAAAAGCGGCCGTTTGCATATTGATCAAGGATATTTCACCGACAACGCGCTCGTTACATTCGCGACGATAAATTTCTGGATCGTACTGCATCGATTCGTTGCGTATCAAAAGTTCTCGGGACACGCGTTCAAATTAGTCGATTCATCGGCCAAAGAGTAATTATACGCGTAATCGAATGGAAACAAATGTACCGTTCGTTTATTTGCCGACAGAGAAGAATTAACGCGACGACATTCGAAGCTTTTAAACACGGATGCACCGTTGTGATTCATTTAATTGCGTTAATCTACCAGTTTCTGTGTTAATGACACGAATTTTAAATGGCAACGCTGGCGTGGGCAAAGTTCCGGATCGAAGTTTAGTAACGCTTCCGCAGTTTGTAACAGCGAACTAAAACGTGGAGGTCTGACACGTGGAAATCTAATGCGTGGTAATCTGCCATGCAGAAATACGACGCGTGGAAATGTAATGCGTGGGAGACCACACGTGGAAATTTGACGCGTGCAAATCTAACGTGTGGCGATTTAATCCGTGGAAATTTCACGGATGGAAATCTAATACATAGAAATCTAACGCGTGGATACTTGTGACGTGGATATCCGACACAAGGAAATTTAACACGTTACGATTTCAGACGTGGAAATCTAATACGTAGGAATTCAACATGTGAAAGTCTAATATATAGTAATCTAATGCATAGAAATTTATCGTATGGAAATCTGAGACGTGGATATCCAACACCTGGAAATACAACATGTGATGATTTCATGCGCGACAACCTGATATGTAGAAATCCAACGCGTGGAAATTTCACACGTGCAAATCTGACATGTAGATATGTAACGCGTGGATATCTAACTTACAGAAATCTAATACATTGAAATCTGACGCGTGGAAATCTAGTGCACGAACATACAACGCGTGAAAATTTAACATGTGACGATTTCGCACGTGGAAACCCAACGTGTGGATACCTAACTTGTAAAAGTCTAATACATTGAAATCTAAAGCGTCGAACGTGTAAAAATTTGCCACGTGGAAATCAACCATCTGCCACCCAAAATAGAAAATAAAAATTTGTTCGCTAACCAAAAAGGGGAAACGTCGCAATTCCTAATAATCATATCAAACAAAAATGTTAACCGGAATCGCATTTTCAATCTCGAAAAACGTACTTTCTCAACCGTACTCGGAAGCTGCGAATTGGTTGTACAGCTCAAAGGGTAGCTTCCATCTGAATGACTCGCAATTTCGAGCTACAGCAGTCGATTTCCGTAGCGTAACAGTCATTCGTGAATCAGACCCGCGAGTAATATAGTATGAAATTTATGGAAACAACGTACACATAGCTGTTCACGGGGCCGTGTTAGTTGTCGCAATAAGGGGAACGGAATTTATTAGCAAAGCTGCACTTAATCGCCCGTTTTCCGTCCTTTGCCGCTTCGAACGCGTATGAAATTCACGCGAACGTCCGGATTGTAAACTGAAATCCATCTTTGGGTTAAACCAGTTTATTACTAGCGATACTAATACGTTTCCCTCTCTGTCATTAAAAGAGCAACTGGAAACTCGTACCGGGAACGTTATTACTTGCAGTATTTTTCTTGGACGTGACACGCGTACATGGAGGCAATAAAATCCGGCAACGATACTGTCCTTTTTTTTCTGCAGTGCTAGGATAAACGAAATTGGGAACTTTCCAACGCGACGTTTTTATTTCGAGTGCAACGATTTAAATGCAATCTTCGAACCTGCGCTACTGGTCAAAAATACGCCGTTATATCTTTTATGATTTTAAAACGTTATTTTTTTGCGTGATCGAATATTTTGCTGCGGATGTTATTTCATCGTTGAACGAAAAGAAAAACAAGACGGGTGATTTTAAATATTTCAAATGTGCAGAAATGGAAACTTTATACACGTTATCTTTAGAATTTCGATGAACTTTCTGCTGAGAAATCGACGCAGTGTTCGAATGCACGGACGCGTTAAAAGCGTGGATAATCTTTCCTATTGGATACCGATAATGACTCTCGTTTAATGAAACTGGACGCGGTATCCGCATTAAACAAAAATATGTATTTTTTATTTTTGGCCCTTTTGTTTCGTGGGCGTACATTAACGCTTTCTTTCGAGACAAATCCACGTAAACCTTCGACACGTCACGGTAAATTAACCTCGTTAAACTCGAGATCAGAGAAGCTTCAGGTTCCGATATGTGCATTAATAATTCATGAATTTAAAAGACTATTTGATAATCGTAACATCTGCACGCAATTAAAATGCAAACGCGCAAGTACGCCAGAACGTTTAAAAGTTTCTCCCGCTGGTTATCTTCCGTTCGAGCAAACTAGCGTTTCCCCAACAGGAAAAAAGTTGCGAGTTCACTGATTATACTTTTAAGGACACCGCGTGTAGCTTGCACATCGTTAAAAAAGAAACTTTGAACCAGTTTCCGAATGAACCAAATGGAAAACGCGTGCTTTGTTAACCAGATCTGAAAACTAACACCAGAACGTAAAAATAATGTTTTCCTCTGCATGCTTTTTCGGTTCCTTTGTATTCTGCTGCGATAAAACGTAACTCTGTGTTCATATACGGTCGAATATATTGTTTTTCAACAATCGACGTAAGGAACAAAAACAGAACGGTTCGATGGAAATTAACTTTACCTAACTGGGCTGTTTCCGGTCAGAAAGAGAATATGTGCAATACGAAGAAAATGGAGGACAGTTAATTTGTGATTATTAATGCCAAGGATAATATTATTAAACGCAAGTTATTTAGTAATTGCCTTATTCTTCTATTCATAGTTCAAATAATTAATTCGTCATTAAACAAGAAATGTCCTCCTTTTCTAAAAACAAAAGAGTTTCTGTGACTTGAAAAAAGAAATCTAAGCGACACGTATTATTTTTATAATAACTTATTTTGTCTGGTATTTTCCTAGAAAACATTTCCGGCACTTTACGTCGTTCAAATAGAAGTTGAAGATGATCTCTCCACCCGAAGCTCGCAGAAGCTGGCAACAATGGTAGCAATTTTTCCCGAAGAATCCCTTCAGGGCTCTCGAGCAGAAGCTGAGCAAAGTTGATTACTTTCCTGATCTCCGTCGCGAGCTTTTTCAAATCGATTGACGAAAGTGACACGTTCGCGTGGAAAGCGGACAGCGTTCTGTGTACGCGGTTTACCAAGGGTACACGCGTAGTCCCTTTTGTACCGTAGGGAGTCGTTTGCGTTGTTTCCGGCGTGTTCCGTAAACAGTCGGCTTCCATCCACCACAGGGACCATCGCGTAGTTTTACAAGGTTGAATTCACGAGTTGCTCGACTCGGAAACCGTTTGCTCGCCTCGGTGACGCGTTTCCTGTAACGCAGCGAGGTCTTGCGGTTGCCTCGAAGCTTTAGCTCGTCTCCGTGGCTTCCACGGGTCAACACGGTTCACCCCAACAACTTCAATCCGCTCTTCCGTCCCTCCTCTTATTTACGCACTCGAGTCTCCACGAGATTCTCCGCCCAACTATGCAAATATTTCCTGATGAATCTCGAATTTGCTTGGCGAACAAACACGGTGCATGTCGAGCAGAACGCGTGGTAAACAGAGAATATTCATAACTAGGTAAAAGCATGCGGTTTCAGTGCCAAAATTATATTACTCTTTGGATCGTAAATCGGGTAACCGAATCCGTGTTCAAGCGTAAGGAATTAGATGCTCGAATCTCTCGCATAGACGCAAATGATCGAAATTTAATCGGGTAATTGGGTGTAAGTACCTGTAGTAGGTCCCTGACTCGTGTACTTATCGAAGCATAACGCTTTATCGAATTTCCGATAACGTTAGGCATTTTTATTTCCCGTTATTAAACTTCTGTCTTGCTTCTGTTGCGTAATGTAAAGTAAAATTTGAAGTTGCTATCAGAGAAGTTCGAGCTACATCGAGCATGGTTACACGGTCGAGAGAAGCTCCCTCGAGGCGATTTAAACCCGATAACCTGATCGAAAATATATGGGAAGAATGAAGCGATAATATCAGACGAGTCAGGCGGTACAAATTGGTTTTATTGTCCGCAATAATTGAACACTCGCTCGTGTCTCATTTTCGCGTCCCTCGAAGCAAAAGGTTTCTTCGCGCAAAATCACGAGCTTAGCGTAACCGAGCCTCGTAAATCCGAACATTCTTCGAAGTCCAGCGAGCGAATCGAACGCTCGACACTCGAGAAGAGCTCTCGAACGAAGATCCACGGCGTCTAAGGAACTAGGCTAGCGACGGCGTTTAATCGATGCCGGGCGAACGGCCTCGAAGATGTAATCTGCACGGTAGTCGAGTATAATGGCCCTCGTTGACCCGTAAAAAGTCCAATCTTCAATCGGTCTGACGCGAGAGCGCTCGCGTTCGAGTGCGACGATCCTCTTCGAAGCTCGGCTATCGGCCGCTCCCGTCGCGCGATCTCAAAAGCGTCTTTTCTTCTGTTCCAGATTTCCGTTGCGTCGAGAAAAACGGAGGAAAGGGAACAACAAGAAGAGACGATCGTAATCGCCGGTAACTCCCGTCTTCCGGATTATCGCGTCGCTGGAAGCACGATCGTCGACGGAATGACGACGAGCCCGTCCCTCGCATCGTCCTCGTCGACGCAACGAGCCTTCGTCTCTCTGTTTCGCGATAAAAACATCAGAAACGCGCATTTAACCGAATCGTCCTAAGGCGATCAGAGTATCGTGTCCCGAAGAGAACCTCGAGATTCTAGGAAAAAGGAAAAAATTCCCAACCGTCTCCGTTCGCGATCGTTGCTGGATTTCAGGAGTCGTTCGACGCTGATCCTCCGCGTAAGAAGCTTCTCCGGCGCGAGAAAAAGAAGATTGACGACGCAACCGTTGAAGCGGAAGAAGATCTCGACCACAATGAACAGCACGGTAATGAGCACCACCAGCGTCATCGATTACGCTTGGAAAGTGAGTCAAGAGGACTCGACGATTCAGAACTGCGAGGCGGATCTGCCGATCGTCTCGCTGGTTAATCAGATCCTCTATTCCATCGTGTGCATCGTCGGCCTGCTGGGTAATACCCTGGTAATTTACGTGGTGCTGCGATTCTCGAACATGCAGACGGTCACCAACATGTACATCGTCAATCTCGCGATAGCCGACGAGTGTTTCCTGATCGGCATACCGTTCCTGGTCACCACGATGAGCCTGCGCGGCTGGATCTTCGGCAAGATCATGTGCAAGGCTTACATGACCACCACGAGTATCAACCAGTTCACCAGCAGCATCTTCCTCTTCATCATGAGCGCCGATCGCTACATCGCCGTGTGCCATCCGATCTCCTCCCCGAAGATACGCACGCCGTTCATCTCGAAAGTGGTCTCGCTGACCGCGTGGGTCACCAGCGTGCTCTTCATGATCCCCATATTCCTGTACGCGAACGCGATGGAGTCGGAGAGGGGTATCAACTGCAACATCTACTGGCCCACCGATCGGGGAGGTCACACCACCTTCACGCTATACACCTTCATTTTGGGCTTCGCCATTCCGCTGATCCTCATACTGATCTTCTACTTCCTGGTGATCAGGAAATTACAGACGGTGGGTCCCAAGAACAAGTCGAAAGAGAAGAAACGATCGCAACGCAAGGTGACCAAGTTGGTGCTGACGGTGATCACCGTCTACGTACTCTGCTGGTTACCCTATTGGCTGATGCAGGTGGCTCTGATCTACACGCCGCCCAAGCAGTGTCAGAGCAAAATCACCATCACCAGCTTCCTGCTGGCCGGCTTTCTCAGTTACAGCAACAGCGCCATGAACCCGATCCTCTACGCGTTCTTGAGCGACAACTTCAAGAAGAGCTTCCTGAAGGCGTGCACCTGCGCCGTCGGCAAGGACGTGAACGCCACTCTGCACATCGAGAACAGCGTGTTTCCGCGGAGGAACAAGGCAAACGCCGAGAGACTTCAAGCGAATCGACTGGCCGCTTCGGGACAATCCAGGCTGGAGCTCGAAGACGAGGATGCCGAGAGAGGACTGCTGATCAGCAAGACTTCCACGACCACGGTGACCATGACGTCACGATCGAACATCACCATAGGCAACGACTCGAAGGATCAACCGCAGCGGGAGAAGGATTCGATGAAGAACGGAGCACAGCTGACTCTGTTGACGCAGGTGTAGGGATCGCACCCGATCGATCAGGTCCTGATCGATTAGACCGAACCTCGGTTGACTCTCGATGAGGTCTCGCCGCGAGAGGTTTTTAACGTCGTCGATAGACCTCTGACAGGTCGACTTGAAAGTTTCTTAATGCCAGCGTCGTCGTCCATCGAATTTTTGCTACTTCCTCGTGAGTCTGCGGTGTTGAATTCCGGTTTATCGAACACGTCTTATTTCCTTCGAGCTCCTGGTTCGTTCACCGGTGTCGTACCTGATCTCGAAATCGTACCCAGGAGCGCGATCTCGATAATTATCGGAGAGACGAAACCGAAGCTTATTTGATCTTCGACGTGAAAAATGAGTCGAGGGGTCGTTTGACTCTGAACGAAGCTGCTGAGACGTATGGATACCTCGATGTTGACAAATGTACGATAACGAGGGGCACTTGTTCGACAGAAAGATCAGAGCGATCGACTTTTTTAAGAAGTCGAACGTCGCTGACCGGTCGTATTTTCTTAAGGAGCATTCTTCAAACGCTCGTATTTAAAATTTCATTGTGACGTATAAATTGAACCAAACGAACTCTGTATGTACATAATTCACGATGTCAATTGTTGGTTTGCTGGAAGAGTACCTCCAAAATTATTTTCATTTCGAGCGACGCTGTAAAATTACATTGACTATCATTGAATAAGATCTCTTCATAAATAATGTATTTTGTAACGTTTACGATGTGGAAACTGATGTTGCTAAATAGTTAATAATTGTGTACTGTGAAGGTTTCTAGTGACGCTTCGAGCAAATCAACGTATCGACGATGAGCAACGGGCATCGGTGCCAAAGTCGTGAACTGTTTCAGAAACGATAGTCTTTAGAAACGAGTCGCTACGAAGGATTCTCGTTAGCAGAACAAGGAGAGAGAAAGTACAAAGATCATCTTACTTCAAGGACGAGTCTGCTCGATTCATAGCCAAGCAAGGTCGATTCACCTCGAAGAGAAGAGCGGAGTTCCCTGGGGAATCTACCATAGTCTTTTCCCTTATCTCCTTGCTGCCTTAATTCCCTCTTCTATTATTTCCACTCGCTCGAGGTACCTTCTGACACATGACGGAGCGTGAATCGCTTCGAAAGTTCTCGGGAAAAGTATCGCTCTTACGAGTGATTCGATCGTGTTTCGAATAATTGCGTGACACGCTGTATACGTTCGTTTTTACCGCGGTATTCCGAGTATTAAAGGCAGAGAAATTCAGGAAACTCATTTCCATTTGCTGGAACAAAAAATAGCTGCACTGTGTTTCGATCAACATACCTTTCGAACAGCGTATTTTGTTACAATTCGATAGCGTAGAATTTCGCTGTTTACATGTGTCGAATTTGTAATAAAATGTTAAATACCGAATTGCTTCGCGTAATGCAAGAATAGCGGGGTCGTGAAAAATTTATAGAGATTCGATGCGTTGCAATTCGATGCGTGAAGATTCCACGCGTGGAAATTCGACGCGTGGAGATCCGATGTGTTGTAATTTCACGCGTGGAGATTCGACGCGTGAAGATTCAACGCGTGGAGATTTGACGCGTGAAGATTCCACGCTTGGAGATTCGATGCGTTGTACTTCCATGCGTAGAGATTCGACGCGTAGCAATTCGATGCATGAAGATTCCACGCGTGGACATTCGACGCGTGGAGATTCGATGCGTTGTAATTTCACGCGTAGAGATTCGATGCGTTGTGATTTCACGCGTGGAGATTCGATGCGTTGTAATTTCACGCGTGGAGATTCGACGCGTGGAGATTCGACGCGTGAAGATTTGACGCGTGAAGATTCCACGCGTGGAGATTCGATGCGTTGTAATTCCACGCGTGGAAATTCGACGCGTGGAGATTCGACGCGTGGAGATTTTACGCGTGGAGATTCGACGCGTGGAGATTCCACGCGTGGAAATTCGACGCGTGGAGATAAAACGCGTGGAGATTCGACGCGTGGAGATTCGATGCGTTGTAATTCCACGCGTGGAAATTCGACGCGTGGAGATTCGATGTGTTGTAATTTCACGCGTGGAAATTCGACGCGTGGAGATTCGATGCGTTGTAATTTCACGCGTGAATATTCGACGCGTGAAGATTCGATGCGTTGCAATTCCATGCGTGGAAATTCGATTTACTACGGATCGATGTCTCTATTTTTGAAGAATAGATTGGGTTGCCAAACAGCTCTCGGTTCATGTCGAAAAAAGTAATTCCGTAAAAATAACAGCGAATAGGTGATTCGGATTAACTGTCGAAGCGCGTCGTTTCGCAAGCTCTTCCTCTTTTATGGCACCCTTCGAGCCGAAGGGAATTAGTTTAAGGTTGTTCACACGTGCTCGAGATGTACGAGTTTTCGCGTGCTACTTCTTTTCGGTTCGCTAATTTCGAAACGAATTCGCTGGTAATTACAAAACATTGGCCTAACTAGATAGATTGAAGTGGATTTTTTCAATTCTCCACTGTGGCACTATCAGCGAAATTAGGAAACTTGCGTTAAGAAATTCTAGTTACGCCAATGGACTCTTTCCAAGTTGAAAAAGAGGATTTCCGAACGGTGAAAAATACAGGATTTCTCTGTTAATATTACTTCTACGTAATCGTTGGTTATTGAAATGCCGATACGAACGGGTAATATCGGAGCAGAGTTTCTGAAACGTTCGCTATTGATTCACGTTGCTTCGCAAGTTCTGGTTAATCCTTCCCAGACACTATCGGCAACATTATCTACGTTGCGAGATCTTTATTTGACAATTTAAGCCATCGAGCATCACGAGTACCGATAACGCGGAACTACTCGTAATTTAAAAAAATTAGACCTCTACGATAACGTGGATCAAGAGTGCAAGTTAAATAGAACCACTCGAGAAACGAGGGACAAGTTTTTCGAAAGTTTGCTCGAAATCCTTCGTGCGGTGATCAAATTTATTATACGTTAAGTGGAAGGCGACGTTAATCGTGTGCTAGAATAATGACCGAAATGTTAGAACAACCGTCGTAAACAACAAGTATTTGATACGTGTGTTAATCCATGCCTGGAGGCGGCACAATATTGTACGAAGGATAATCCCATTTTCCTTACCTCCGGTGACAACGTATCCTCGGTTGATTATAGTCTGCATATCAGATTAATCTGCCGGGTAATATTTACAAACATGATTTTCAATCGCAGTCAAATATTTGTTACACTGAATATTTGAGTTGAATTACAATTTACCGAAAGTACGGTTCAACAATCAACCCTTTAATAGACCTGCAAAGCTTCCATCTACTTGGAAACAAAAGACCGTCGTAATTAAGTTAATGAAGCATTTCCAGAAACAGGCGGCCAACACGACCAAAGGAAGATTAAACTTCTTCCTGTTACGTTTGTATACCGAGTCTCAAAACATAGCCTTTATGACTTGTTATGAAAGTTACATATCATTTTCAACGTCCAATTAAAGTGGAAGCTAAAAAGCTGCATAAACCTGAGTATTTCAAAGGGTACGTTGCAACCGTTCAATACTGGTTATCCGAATAAAATTTCAACTGGAAAGAGAGGAATATAAGTACTCAACGAGAGAAACACGAGAGTACAACTGACTAACGAATTAACGTTAATCACGTACGAGCAATTAACGGGAACTCGGTAGAGAGGTGTGAATCGAGCAATCAAGCGAACATGGAAATTTCATCGTCCAGGAAAACTTATTTCCCCATTTCGTTTTGTTATTTCCGATTCTCTGAATTAATCCATTTCTCATTCGCTGTTCAAACTTTGAGTTTGAAAGATTACACCTTTGTTACATGTTTAGGATCACTTTTCTAGTTTACTTTAATTTTTCGAGGTGTATCATGTACTTTAGGGTACTTTCAGGTACTCAGGGTACTTTAGGGTTATATAGGGTGTTTCACAACTAGTGTAGGTCCCTGAAATGGAGAGTAGCTGATTATGAATAAAATTTCCCTTTACAAAAATGAGATTTGAAGCTTCGTTTTTGAATTATTAAGGAAAGCACGGACTAATCAGAGAGCGAATCTCCACACGTTGAATTACCACGCAGCGAGTTACCACGTGTCGAGTTACCACGCGCCGAATTACCACGCGTCGAATTACCACGCGTCGAATTACCATGCGTCGAATTACCATGCGTCGAATTGCTACGCATCGAATTACCGCGCGTGGAATTGCAACGCATCGAATTTCCACGCGTGGAATTACAACGCATCGAATCTCCATGCGTCGAATTACCACGCGTCGAATTGCAACGCATCGAATTTCCACGCGTGGAATTGCAACGCATCGAATCTCCATGCGTCGAATTACCACGCGTGGAATTGCAACGCATCGAATTACCACGCGTCGAATTACCACGCATCGAATCTCCATGCGTCGAATTACCACGCGTGGAATTGCAACGCATCGAATTTCCACGCGTGGAATTGCAACGCATAGAATCTCCATGCGTCGAATTACCACGCGTGGAATTGCAACGCATCGAATCAAGTTCTGTGTAATTACCAATATTAATCGTACAATTAATTTTTAATAAAAAAGAATTTTTCACGGTAAGATATTTGCGGAGTGTCGCGAATCAGCCTTGTGTCGCGTATCGATGTATCGAAGGTATCGTAACGAGTTAATTATGTTACTGAAGACCTCTTAACGGCGAAGAGGACGTAGGCGAGGTGGTTTGATAAAATAAAGCAAAAGGAGGCGTAACCTTGGTACCCTTTGGTCGTTATGGTCGTTAAGCGGCGGCTGGCATGGAATTCGTATTTAATTTCGTTAAACGAAACTGCAGTCGCATTTAAATTTTAATGTTCACGATGCAACGTAGCAGACTATGAGGGCGGAACGTTTAATCGGGATGCTTTTTAATACCGTTGAAAGCGAGACGGAAAACGATTGTAATTCTAATTCCAGATTAAAACAATGTCTCGTTTGCCAGGGAAAACGTCCGCGTTCTTGAAAGCGTCACTCGTTTTACGATCTTGTTACGAATGTTTTCAC